ATGAGTGTTTACGTGTGTGGATCGCTGTGAGGCGTGGTGCCAGTTGGATAAGTGATAAGTTTTATGCCTTACTTATTATGACGCAGACAATAGCAATAATACACAAAGCATAGCGCTTGGGGTATGACGAACGGAATGGCCTGCTCAGCAGTGGATTTAGCAAAGGGGGTTCCGAGGTCGAATAGTTCTGGTTTCGAGACGAAGGTGTCCGAGTCCCAGTAGTGTTTCAAAGATTGCGGCGGCAGAAGCCGTAACTGGCGAGCCGGAGGTAATGTCGGTCGAGGAGACTGAGAGCTGAAGAAGAAACCGACCTCACGAAGAACGGTAGGGAGGTTTATAAAGGGTGTAAGAACCGCCCCAACAGAGGATGTGATAATCTTTGGAGGGATTGAAAATGTAAAGATGGTAGTTGGGGTAAAGGAAAACGTAAAAAGGGAAAATGGAAATAAGGGTTTTAAGGGGGCTAAAAAAAGATTGAAAGGAAAAATAACAAAAGTGGAACGTCTGTGAATGCAGGTGCATTCCCAAAGATGAATAAAACGGGGTAAAAGACGAATATTTAATGTGGTTTTTTTTTTCCATCTACAGCTACCAATATTTTACATTAGCAACAAACGATATCCATGCAAATGCAAGTATATTTCAGGAACAGATACAATGCTTATGTCATCCACACTGCCGACAAATTTTTACGATCAGCCACCAGCACAGAGTTGCTACTCGCAAAATTTCGTGAATCATCCAGCCGTTGGTTAGGGTTTTTTATTTCGATCTTTAATTCTGTATCGGGAATTACGGTATACGGCCGTCAACAGACATTTGCTTTTTTATGATCATCCGGCGTCACTGTCTCACTAACACATGAATAATTCAGTTATTTTTCTTGCAAATGAAACAGAACGAAAATTTTGAGAAAAATAAATTCTCAAATTCTGAAGTCGTTTGAAGCGAAGATGAATGTAATTTTCACCTTCGCTTAGTTAAGGCGTATATGACTTAATGGACCGAAACGTCTTACCTCAATCCTGCTTCCTTTCCACATTCTTTCCAACTGTGTATCTTGCACGCCTTTCAAATTTTCACATCGTAGGTCAACCTGGATACCACAATCGGCTTAATGAAGAAATGCTAAGCATTGCATTAGACTTGAAAAAATTTTATGCAAATCTTTTTAGCAGTTTCCTCGCAAATTACATGTGCTTCTGGTACCGTTACAAAAAGCACTCCATCCCAGCTAGGAGTGCGTCCACACTCAGTAGCGGAAATGCCGAGCGAGACAAATCCACGTAAGTCCAATTTACGCTGAATTTTTTTTTTTGCAATTTATAAAAACAATGAATAATTCCCTCGGAATGGTCTTTTTTCCTAAAAATAAAATATACTTTTCATTGGCGTTCGTTTTTGTTCATTTTAGAACAATTTTCATCCGTGCTGCGGCCCGTTCGCTTGGCGCCAGGTATTCCATCGTCCAGGTTCGTTTTTCTCACATTTTTCAGATCCAGTTTTTTAAAATTTTCCAAATTTCTTTTGCGAAAATTTTAGTTTTCCGGGTTTTTTCAGGCAACATTTTTTGCGGGTTTTTTTATTTTGTTTTTTTTTTTTTTTCTTTTCTTTCTGCTAAACAAATGTGAATTTTTGAGGACTTTTCATTTCGTGTCAACGGGAAACAAACAAAAATTTTGGTGTGTTGCATCAGGATGCATTTGGTGGAATTATTTTTTTAGCCCTTGCCTTTACTACAATCTTTTTATAGTCAGTTACATCGAGCGTCGTATTCAGGCGCGGATATCTATGCACATTCCTCGGAAACGCCTTCACTTTTCACTGCGGTAAATGCTTTTGTTTGCATTTCTTCTACTGTTGATCATGCATTTTTCTTCTATGCGGATTTTCCACTGTAAGATGTTTGGCGAGACCATCTGGCTATGTTTTGATGGGTGAAAAGTCAGCACGGGTAAGCTTCCTAGTCCGGTGCTTCTTTCGTCAACATGCAGCATGTTTTCAGCAGTCGTTGTCCACCTCTCAATTGCCGTCTACTTCTTGGAACCAGTTTCAGAATTCGAATGTTGCACAAGGTGAGCACTTTTTTTTCTTTACGTTTATAATAAGACCCCCTGGTGATAAGTTTTTATTCCACGATAAACTCTTCTTGACAGTGTCTTAATTCTGTATGAGAATTGAACTGGTTTTTCAGGGGCATCGCAAACAGGAACTAATCTTCTACATGCAACCAACGTGACACGAAAGCAGACTTGCCACGTTAACGGCAGTAATTTTCTGCAAATTGGGAAGATTCCGCCTCCCAGGCCGAAACCACCTACCATCAAACAGGTCTTTCGCTCTACGCTTGTTTCAGGCACTTTTCGTTGGCAAGTTCAACAAAAAAATTTTTAATCACTGATAACAACCCTTTTAGACATCCTGTAATAACAAACAGCAAAGTGCAACAGCAGCAACAGCATCATCATCGCCTGCAGTGAATTATTCTGTGAATGGTGTACAGGAGGGGCCATCAACTTCCGCGCAATCGAGAATATTGGCAGCGGACGCCTCACTAAACCAGGATAATTCGGACCCTTTTGAGGTAAATTTTATTCATCGCCACTGTCCCGTCTAAAACTTACCTCTTTTAGGGCACTTTGCTGGCCACTTGCTTTTGTTTTTGCACACTGCTTCATCGAGACTGTGCTTTTAGATCTCAATGGCAGTGAAAGATATCGCACACCGAGGCCTGTACAGTGAGCTGTTCAGAGAATTTCCTGTAAGTTTTATGAATGTATCCAAAAAAAGGCATTGTTAACATTACTTTGTGTTTAGTTAAAAACTATGTTTCAAATTTTTGTTTGTAAATTAGCGGCATGTTCCAGCAGCAAGCCTACATTTAGTGATTTCTCAAAGTAACGAAATCTCATCAATACCCATTAACATGACTCAGTGAGCTATAGCGGCAGCCTTTGACATAGTAACTGCCAGAGTTCAACCAAAAATGAGTTTCTGTACAAAGTTTCTGTAGATTTTGTTTTGATAAAAATTTTTCGTCACTGCTTGCAGCAGCTCATAGACTTGTTCTGCAGGCATCGACGAGTTCTTCACCAGGTGGCTTATCTGGACAATCGGACCGGAAACAGCTTTATAATTCAAAGCTTTCACCACCTTCCGCAGGCTCTCTCGGCCATAATCAGTCTTCCTCGAACGCCACCAATTCATTAGCCACATCTCTTGGTTTTACGCAACAGCCTGCTGGAATTGGGGTAATTCTTACGCTCTTCAGATTGTGACAGTTACACAAAAAGCATGCTGTCACGTTCTTGTTCATGAATATGTTTGTTGTATATGTGTGTGTTCAAGTGTATTTTGTCTCGGGTTTTTAACTCAAAAACCATTAAAGCCAGAAGCTGAAATTTTAGGATTATGTTACCTGCTTGTATGCGACCTCGCAAATTTGGATTCGGCCTTTGCTGACGCTCAGCCTCACATACGGAAACGCAAAAAATCGACAAAAAATTTTTTAATTTAGAAACAAGACAAAATTGAAAGCTGATATTTTAGACGGAAGTTTCTTGCCCATCTGCGACTATACAACTTTAGAGTCAACGTCCAAATACGTTTAGTTCTCAGCTACGGACAGCTGAGTGTATTGACTGGAAATTTTTTGCCTTAGGAACTGGACAAAATGGAAATCTGGAAATTTGGGATGATGCTTCCTTTTAATATGCGATCATGAAATTTCAAATTCAACTTTCGTGCCCGCTTAAGTTTTATGCAAGGACACGCAAAATTTCGCTTAGGATTTTTAGTTGAACTTTCGGAAGATGCTTTCTGCCCATATGCAGTCCTACAAAGTTATTTTAAGCTCACACGCACTTTTTCATATTTCACATACGGGCACGTGAAATTTTTTGCGGGAAATTCCACAGTTTCGCAAAAGATAACATATCAACTATTTCGCTCACATCAAAGTGTAAAGCAGCGAAAATTCTTAATAGCAAACGTCTAGTGGACAGAGCT